CAATAAACCATTAAACTCTTATTTATGTTGGCTTTTAAAGTATCAAATCAATATCAAAACTCATTACTGAAAATCATGAAATTTGAAACATAAAATAGTTATATACAAATTAATAATTTGTATATTTCAAATACTATTTAATAAAATGTAATCTATTTATGTATTATTTATTTTATATAAAAAATATTCTATATTTTTATATTATATTAACTCCATAAAAGTACATCAATATATTTTATTCAATTCATTATGCATGTATCAAATGTGATATTTTGTAGTTTATGAACAAGATCCTTATTCAAAGTTAACATATTTCATAATTTATTTGACCATTGTGTTCAATTATTTTTTAGTTAACTGAATTTTATTTGTTATTATCCATACATCTAATTATACAATAAAATATACTTTTATCTCTTTTACTAATCATTGTAATTTTAGTTTTACTATTATAAATATATCAAATATAAAAGATATCTTAAGCAATCAACATTCATCTATTTGGCAATAAATCTTCGCATTTAATTCTTTTACATGTTATTCATTGTTCTATTACAGAATAGTTTTTATCATTATATTTCAGTTTATAAGATCTTCTTACTTTTTAAAATTGATTTTTTAGATAAAAATATTAATGAATATAGTTGTTGAAATTTACTTTCATGAAAGACACATTTTAACTAAACTATGTAGTTCATAAACTATGGATTCATAAAATTTGATATTAGTTAACCTTGTTATTTTTCTAATTAATTTATTACCACGTTAAAATATTTTAATTCTAGAAATTAAATCTAAATATGAAAAAAATAATAAAAAATAAACATAAAATAATAATATAATTTTTATATTTTAATATTTGCTATCATGTCCATAAATTTATGTGAAAATGATTTTTTTGTTTTCTTTCGGTTATATCACGTGTTTTTTTCAATCATATGTCCTACTTGATACTCTATTTTTTTTCAAAAAAGGCATTTAGGTAGTTTTATATGCCTTGTTAGAGAAATGCTCACCTACACACGGTGGGCACATGTTAATATGTCCACCGCGTATGTGGCATGCACTCATTGATGATGTTAATATGTTTAGAAAAATACATCACCAATGAGTGCATGTCACCTACGCGTTGAGCATATTAACATGTACCCACCGTGGGTACAGGAGCATTTCTATGCCTTGTTATTAGTTTAATGTTAATTTTTTATAATTATATTGTTAAACTTTACTTATTATGACATGTAGTTATGTTATTACTAATATAAGAATAATAGTATACATTTAGAATTATAATAAATTTATTATAATAGTTTATACATAATATTGTATATATGGTGCGAAATTGAGGAAAGTATTTTTGCCCAACTTTTATATTTGTTCCACATGCTATTTAGGAATATATTTTAATGTAATTCAGTATTATTGATATAATTTGCATCTCGTTTATTATTTTTTCCTTTATTGATAAATTAGTATTCTATTACTTATTTAAATCTATTTTGTTTAGGTTTTATTTTTGAAAGAGCTTTGTCTTTTAGAATCCTTTTGTATTGAGATATTTAATTGTTATTATAATGCATTGCGATTCTTAATGATTATTACAATTTCTCCATTAAATATTATATAAACATAAGGACTTCTTAATGATATTTAATTGTAAGCTATTTATGTATTGTTAATTTATATTAACAAATATTATATATTTTTATATTAACTCCGTAAAAGTATATCAATATATTTTATATCATTTCTCATCATGATAGAAGCATGTATCAAATGCGATATTTTGTAATTAAAGAAAACAAAATCCCTATTCGAAGTTGACAAAATTTATAATTTATTTGGCAAATATTTTCAATTACTTTTAGTTAACTAAATTTTATTTGTTATTATGCATACTTAGAGAATGCTTGGATATAAAACATTTCAAAAAAAAATCCAAACATTTTTTTTTTAACTCAGCCATTTTTTTAACTCAATCCCAATATCATTAATATTTTTCAATATTACTAAATAATATTAATCAATCATTATTACACACCACATCAACTTTAATTTATCATCAACACTACAAGAAAATACTTCAATTCCAACGAAAAATTCCAACGGCAAAAATTTCCATTTGAAATTCCAATGAATATTCCAACAAAATTAATTTTATGTTGGAAAAAGTGTTGGATTGTTGAGGAATTCCAACGGATTTTTTCCGTTGGAATAGCTGTAGGAATTTATTTCCATAGGATTTTCCGTTGGATTTTAGCTATTCCAACGGCCGTTTTTCCTACGAATTTTTATACGTAGGAATATCCGTTGGAATACCTATTCCAACGGATATATAAAGAATTCCAACGGAAAATTTCCGTTGGAATGTAAGAGGTTATTTTGTAGTGCAACTTACATGATTTTTTTCATTTTATATTTTACAAAAATAATTTTCATGGGTTTTATTCAAACCATTTTTGTAGATGTTAAATTATGTTACATATTACGATCAAACAAAGAAAAAATTATTTTACATATTTGTATAGCGTGTTAAATTATTTTCTTAAATAATTTTAAATT